ACCTACCTGAGATTCTGGTTGTTTCATCTCAAAAATGAGAAGCCTGAGCCAGAATTAATGGTCACTAATTGCTCTGGGATCATGTGGGCATTTGAAAATGGAGTGAAAGCTATGGGTCAAAATATAGGCAGAATCGTGGGAAAATAAAACACGTCTTAATCTGTTGTGGGTGGAGAGAAATCTCTCCCATGGGTACAGAGCTGCCACTCTGCTGAGATACTTCTGAGAGTCCACGGAAAAGGTGGACACTTTTGTATAGAACCCCTAGTGCCTGCGCTGCCTAAAGTGATAGAAATCATAATAATTATTATGACAATGATTGCCCCTAGTACTTATTGAATACAAATTTTGTGCGAAGGTCCTTTTCCCACAGTAAAATTCGATTCCAAAATGATTTGTTCTTGTTGGAAAAAGGAAAAAAATAAAAATAAAAACCACTGAGTGGAAATGCTTTGCATGTTTCCATAGTTGTCTTTAAGGAAAAGAAATTGCACTAGCCCAGAATAGTGCTCAAATTCACTTTAATGAGTAATAGGATATACTTAATATCTCCTGAAGATGAGAAAGTATTCCCTAGAGAAATGTAAGGAAATAACTGAGAATAGTCAGCAGTTCTTAAAGCTGGTTTGAGTCCTTGAAATATTTCTGGATGGTCACAGATGGCCCCTGAGACTGACATGTGTGAAGTGACTAGGTCTGCATTGGATTCTAGCACAGAAGTACATTTAAGAATTTCACTATCAATAACAGCCCAAGGACTCATGCTTGGCCAAAGTGCCTAGAATTGAAATAAAAACTGCGTCTTTAGGTTTATTTCATTTATCAGGGCAAAAAACAAAAATAAAAACAACTAAAAAACCCCACATTACATTTCCTTCTCAATTCTACACTTCTAGTTCACACAATCATCAATGGGGAAGTTAGAAAGACCTTCTACATTCACTTTGTTTTAGTTGTTAAGAACATAGATTCTGGATTCAAAGGCCTGAGTTTCTGTGAGATTCCATTACTTACTAGCCAGGTAGTTCTGGGCAAACCTACCTAATCTACCAGGTTCCTCATTTGCAGAATGGAGGAGACAATAATATCTGTCTCAAAGGGGTCTATGTGAAGGGTTAAGTGAAAGAATCTAAGAAAATATCTCGGCTAAGGACTTGGCAAGGTTTGAGCACAAGCTCCTTTATTTTTATAAATAAAAATCACTCCTTTATTTTTAAAAATAAAAAAAAAAATGTTATTTTTCCTAGTTTATAGACTCTGCCCTGGATGTTTCATTGCATTTTTTTTTGCCCAGGGACTACCCAGAGTACAAACTAGTGTCAGTAGAACAAGGAAACATTCAAAGCCTATCTGGGAAGTGGAAGTCAGCATTCTGAGCACTTCAAAAAAAAAGTGCTAAGAAAACTTTGGGAAGAATCCTGTGAGCATCAGAGACTGTCCGCGGGAATGCAGAGTCCATGTGGCTGGCCCATAAATGGAATAACTTAATGATAACCTGGTTTAGTGTGTAGATTGCAGGGCACAGGATTTACTCTGTTCTCCACAGGCAAGGTAGTGTGCAACTAGTAATTAGTCCATGTAGGTAAACAATGACCGTGACTTTTCTTGAGCAGAATTCTTCCCCAGCATACCGTGTCCTGAAGTCACAGAAAAAGCCAAAGTGCTTACAGGACTCTCACAATTTGTCCGCATTGTCTACTGCCCTCCCTCTCTCTCTTCATCGCAGCCTTCTGCTATGACTAGCATGCTCTGGCCTCAGGGCCCTTAAACTTCTTGCCTCTACCTGGGAGAGAAACAAATCCAACTCCCTCATCTATTTCTGTAGTCTTCCCTGATCCTGTTTAAAATTGAACACCCATCCTGTCCCTCTGGCCTATTCTTGCTATTTCTCCTAGGCACTATCACCTTCTAACATACTCTATAACTTACCTATTTGGTTCATTGTTTGTCTCACCCCTCCTCCAATCTCTGAATGTAAGCTCCCTAAGGGCAAGGATTTGTGTGTTTCGGCCATTGCTGTATTCCTGGTGCCTAGAACAGGGCTTGGCACCTAGTGGTGTTCAGTGTTCATGGAGTCGCTATCAGTGAATCCATATACTCACCCGTTCAACAGGCTAGGCCTCCCCTCCAGCGAAGGTCTTTCTAGCAGGGTACTCTCGTAAGGCTTGGTTCAGGAGAGGCATTTCAAAGAATTCTTTCAACACAAGATAATGTATCATTGGCTTTGTTGCATGAGCCAGTATCTCAGCCACAGTATCATCAAATTACCTACACAGTGTAATGTCTGAAGGGAGTGTAATGTAACTACCTTGGTCTTCCTGTAAACTGAGCCAGAGACTGTTGATGATGCACAAAAGAATGAAAGTATTCGGTTGCTTAAAATTTCTAGATCCCAATTTCTGTCTTTTCAGGGAGTCTTATATGACACTGCTAATTTACCTATCATTAACAGTATTTTGCCATATTTTTCCCCTGAATAGATTTATTTTAGTGATGGGTCCATTGATTATCTTTTTTCCCTATGTTTTTGCATTTTCTTTAATAAGCATATATTACTTGAAAATGAAAAATGGGGGGCTTTCTGCTACATCTGTATAACTCTTTTATGAAGCAGATTAAAATTTTTTTTTAATCCCATATTCAAAGTCATATCACTTGTCAAAATCCCTGGGACAGCCAACTGTTTGAAGAACTGATAATCCTAGTGAAAGATGAAAGAGAGGGCTTGCAGAATCTTGGCAAGATTATCAATACTAGAGGAATTTCTTATCCAAGGAATCAAGGTATTTTCAAGAACCTGTCACTGGAGAGTGAGATTTGATGTTATACTCCAGGCCACCAAAGGCCTGTGGCCAATGACCTTTTGGGGTCCGAGAAGACTGTGAGGTGCAAAGAATGCTTTATTTGGCATCCAAGGACAAGGTGTGAAGTAAGTCACTTTAACCTGCAGGAAAACCATACAGCCCTAGCTATTCATGAGGTATTTAGGGTCAAAAGTTAAAATGAGATTAGGTGAAAGTATGCACAATGGTAAAAGTACTTAACACACCATAAAGGGCTCTGCAAATATTTGGGTGTTGATGTTTCTGATTAGCTGAGCCCTCTATTTGTCTGAAGGAGAAATCAGTTTGAGTTTAAACATTACAACTAGTTATGTAACTTTGAACCAATCCTTCCACTTTCTTAGTGTGTTTTCTAATTTAGTGGAGATCTGGTTGGCCTTCCTTCAAACAATTATGTAGAAGTTCAAATGGATATGGAAATTTTTTGCAAAGCATAATGCATGATAAGATCTGAGGTGTTATTCTGCAGCCATTGAGTTGGTCAAGGCCTCCTGGAGTCTAAAATACAGAGCATACCTCTTTCTGAGATCATGTTAGGTAAGAAAAGCCCTTACCTGAGATACATAGGCTCTCGAAGTTAATATTTAAATGAATTTTCTTTTGAATGCAATGCTTTCCCTTCCATATTAGTTTAATAAAAATTCCTTAAAGGATAAGATGGTTATTTCTTTTTAAAAGAGGCAGCCAGAGTGCAACATGCTGTTTCCAATTTACCAAATCGGGGACCTGTACTCAGTTTGGAACCCTACATGCCCTTCCCTGGAGGATGGGGCTTTAGTCACGTGTGACTTTTAATTACTGCCTGTGGAAATATAGGGCTTCTCTGTGTCCAGATGTGTCAAGTATATCCAAGAGTGAATTAAACAGTAGAGGACAGTGAAAAGGGCTTATTACTCAACGGGAGTAACAAGAAGGTTTGAGGTGGCCACAGGTGACAGCCTTGCTGGTGGGGGAGATATTTCTAGCCTCTGGGGTGGGTTGGGGGTGGAAGAGAGCTCATTCCTTTTGAAATGTTCTGGCACAAAGCAAGTCCCAGCCTCCCCTGGGTCTGGCCTGCCATCTGGCCCTCAGACTGGGATCAAGACCTAGAGGGTTACCCTGTGATGGTCCACCCTGGGAAGATGCTGGTTCTCTGTGGAAAGATCCTTGGGTTTGTTTGTTTTTGTTTTGTTTTGTTTTTGTTCTTTTTTCCTTACTGTGGTATTTCCGGAGCCAATATGGTGCCTGCCACCAGTAGGTGCTTATAAATACTTGATGAACCAGTAACCGAAGAGTGGTTAAACTATTACAGTGACAACAGAAGCATTTACAAACTACGTAGGGCCCCTGTTGGTCTTGAAAAGGGTTTGGGTGAGAGGGACATCCAGAATTCCATCAGCGCCTCAACCCAGACAAATGCTGTTTTCTTACTATTGTGATTGTACTATGGCCTAAAGCTGAGTAGCCTGGAGAATGACTTTTCCTCACACCTATTTACATATAAGAGTTGGGCTACAAAGTCCTTTGGTTGATAGGTGCCACATTTCACAATACATCCATTATAATAGCTGTTATAGTCTAATCTTAATTCATAATTTTTATATTTTAAAATGTAGTCCATCAATAAAGAATTTTGAAATCTTTAGCACTATGGTCCATGAAACTATAAGTATTTATTCAATTAGATGGAAATCCTCAGGGAAATCAACTCCATAGCTTTGGGGTGGGGGGAATATGATCTACTCACAAGTAGGAATTTAGGGTGTTATATGTATTTTGGGGCTTGGGGGTGAAGATTTTTTAAGCTTTTGTATCCTACTTCTAGGTAGATCTAAAATGTTCTGACCTCCTCCTTCTGGCAACGTTTGTTTAGATAAAATCTTTCTTTAAGATGGGACTTGTCAAAGTAGCCCTTGTCAAGAGCCTTGTCAAAGAGGGGTGCCTGGGTGCTCAGTCAGTTAAGCATCCAATGCTTGATCTCAGCTCAGGACATGATCTCAGACTGGTGAATTTGAGCCCTTCCATGGGCTCTGTGCTGACAGTGTGGAGCCTGCTTGGGATTCTGTCTCTCCTTCTCTCTGCCCCTTCCCTGCCTGTAGTCTCTCTTTCAAAATAAATAAAACTTTTTGTTTAAAGAGCCTTGTCAAAGAAACAAGATAATTGTTGACAGTTCAACAATCCATATACAAAATCTGTTTAATGGCCATTCGTGTAAGTAGATTAATATAAACAGAAAATAGTTCCATTTTTTCTTTGCGGAGCAATCAAACAAAAAACAAGGACCAACACAATTAATAGCCCAAAGATTTGGATACAAAGGCTTTGCTGAGTAAGACATGAGCGCCATCTGGAGGGCCCACTTGAAACTACAGTGCAGCATCTGAAGGACACAATGTTCTTAAGTTAAGGTACCATTTGTGGACAGGAGGGTAACAGAATCAGGAATGAGCTACCTTCATTCCACAGCCTGAGCTCCTACTATTTTAAACTTCCAATAGTGGACTAATAATATTGTCTTTAAGTGAGGTACTTTTAGCAGAGGTGGGAAATGAAACCTTAACATCTGAAGTGTACTAACATTAGCTCATTGGTAATTACAAGTCAGGAAGTACTAGGCAAGAGGGAAATAGGCAAATGTGTACCCAATCTGCTGTGTTCAGATGCCCCTGAGTAGGGCCTCATACAAATCCATCAAAATTTTTATTCACAAGATGTAAATGACTGATAGTTTAGGTTTTCCAGAGGAATTTACATTTTAATAGAGACAGAGATAACTGGTAGAATTTCCAAATGTCAACTGTTGGTGAGGCTATGGTGGAGTAAAATAATCTCCTTTATCAATTACTTATTTCTTTTAAATAAACTAGGTCTGTTCCTTGCTGATACACTCATTTTAATGAAAATGTTCTAAAAGGCGTCTTTAATCCTTCAAAAGTCTGAGTAGTTTAAAACATCTACATTTCCTATGTTTATATATTTTGAATAAGTATTTGGTATTTTAATGAGATACCTAGTCTCCAATGCTCCTCAAATATCTCTGGTGAAAAATTTTATACTTTTCTCCAATCACTTGAGGGACCAATACCTGCGCATATTAAGGTAATAATTTCGTGGCAATATCCTAAGAATTTAGTCTATCTGAACTTGTCACAGACTGTTTACAGTGTGTCAGCTGGCCTTGCTCTGCCACCTGCATTTGAAGATCACCACTCTATTTCCTGCTTTCTCTTCTATAAAGTACCTCCCTTTGGCCTACATCCACCGGGACCACCACCATATTCAAGGCTTGACTTACACCTTCCTTCCAATTTTTAAAAGAATACGGTCTTTGAATCCATAAAAACAACATTCCAAACATTTTCTAGTCCCCATTTTAAACTGACCCTCTTGCAATGTGTTTGTACAACTCCCCCATTCCCTTGTTTAGTTCAACTGGCTTCTGTTTTGCCAACTTTATTTGTGATGAATTTGGACTAGACACCAGAAGCTTATGTAAGACACTTGGGTAGCACAGAAGTTCAGGTATTTAAGAATTAACAGAGAAATCCATGTAGCAGACAAGACATATGCTTTCTTGATATGAAGATTATAGGAAAGTTTCAGTTGAGGGTTTGTTTGTTGCCAAAATGCAGGTTGACAGAGTCTTTTGAATGATAAGTAATTCTGGTGCTCTGACATTTCTTTCATCCACTGGTTGAAGGGCAATGCATTCTTTTTTTCTTATCCCTATAACACAAAATTGAAAATTCCACATGGCCACATATTAAGTAAAGTGTTCATACGTTTCCATTTATAAGGCACAAAATCCACAAATTTCTCAGAGAAAGGAAGAAAACAAAGACATGAAGATAACAAAATAACCTAGTAATAGAAGAATTTCATCAAACTGGAGTGAAAACAAAGCACTTTCCTTTGTAGTAAACAGAGACCTTATACAGCTAGGAAACATGGCATCTGAGAAGACTCCCATGGCTCCTCTGTCAACACAGCCCCCTTCACTGGATTAGTACACAAATCGGTCCTCAGAGAAGGCTGTGAGGCCAGAACACATCTAGTGCAAGTACCACTTATCCCACAGAAGCTACTGGACAACAGAAAGTTCTAGCTACAGGGTACCTCGTTCACCATTCTTACGCAAAGGAACCTTCAGGCATTAACCCACAGTGAGCACACATGCTCATCTGTCCTAGGGCTCGATTATTTTAAGGATTCATCTCTAAGTTGAAGCATAACTGCCTGCCTGAGGACCCTAAACTAGGGTAGTTATATGGGTCCTTTATGTGGCAGCATCTAGTTAAGAGGCCAGACCCTGGATTCCTCTTGAAATAATTGGGTCCCTAGAGGGACCCTCAGAACCAATTCACTCCATTAGTTTTTTTGTTTTGTTTTGTTAATACGCTGGCCCAAATCTGGAGAAGATTCCCTAGCACAAGCCCCAGATTTTCTGGCCTGTAAGGCAGCCCTAATAGATTTCAAGTACTGCAGTCCACAGGTATAGAACAGAAGGGTCCCATGACATAAAACAGTATCCAAGCTTACTGGCTGGGTCTCCTGATGGCTCTTGGCACTGTACTTTCTAGTACCATTTACATTATTATTATATGAGAATAAGCTTTCTGAATGTCCACATAGATCCAAGCGTTTCCTGGAAATATGACTGCTTCGTATTCCTCTACATTACCATGCAAGGTACAGATGGGAGTGACAGCACTGTAGAGAAAACAGCCAGGCAGACATCATCCTGAGAAAAGTGTTCAGAGTAGGGCAAGAGAGATGGAACCAGAAATCAGATTAATAAGTAATTCATCGTGTCTAAGGGTTTCACTGAGTCATTTTGAAGATTCTGACTTCTCCACCCTGAACAATCTGAAATCCAAATGAAATCGAGTTCTTGGGTCAATTTATTCAGTCACCAAAAACCAACACAGTAGGATGGCCATTCCAATACAGTGTGGACCAGCCATGTACTTACTTTCCCGTCTAACTTCTTTATCCCTTCAGCTCTGGGACTTGCCCCTGGAGGCAAAAGTCAGAATTCCCCCTAGGTTTTCGGGCAGAAAGATAATCCTTAACTTAGTGTCCCATGAATCTTAGCCAAGGTCCCTTCTTTTCCTGTATCTTGTAAAGTTATGACACACAGGGAAAAATAATACTCCTTTTATTAGCAACAACTATAACCACAAAATTCTTGAATCCTTTGGCTTTCCAATGCCATAGCATATCCTTGGAAATATGTATTAAGTTAAAAGCAACTCTTAAAAACCAAAAAGTCAACTCCTAACGTTGCACTGAGGTTTCCCCCAAATCAGGACAGGCTGCCTCCACACCTCACTCCACTTGCCAGCCTCAGGAATCTTTCTTGGTCAGTCTGGCCTTGACTTTGTGCCTCAGGAGGGCTGCAGTGGCAGCGCTGCAGGCCGCCAAGAAGAAGAAAGACAGGCAGGCCGTGTAGACAGACAGTGGGCCATGACGCTGCTGAAAGATCTCCTGCCGCCCCTGGTAGTCCAGGAGGATGGCCTCCAGCTGGGAGAGCGTACAGATGGCCAGGAAGGCATGGAAGATCTGATGCCCGTGGCCCACAATGTCACAGGAACCCGGGAAGTACTTCTCAGGAACCGGGCAGGAGAAGAAATAGGCGCTGACCAGGAAGAAGAGGATCTGGAGGGTGTGGTACCAGGCCGCCTGCTCCTGGCAGCCAGCCAGGTGGCACAGGGCCACGCGGTGCGCCACGGGACTGATGTCTAGGACGAAGGCCAATCCTGCCGGCACCACTTGACAGATCTTCCTCATGACTGGGTACGGTCTGCGGTAACGATACTTGGCATAGCAACAGCCGGCGCAAGATAACCAGCCGCAGAAGGCAGCTGCTGGCAAGAAGAAGAGCCAGAACAGCTCGTACCAGGCCTGGTCGGAGCTGTAGAAGAAGTGGGCCAAGGCGCTGCCATACTGGTAGACACTCACGCCCACGTAGTCCACGAAGTAGAAGGTGTAGTGCGAAAGCTCTGACTTGGACTGCAGCAGGTGGGCCAGAAGGCTGCACGTGAGGTAAGTGATGGAGGACAGGATAAAGAGGAGCAGGGGCAGCGAGCGGGTGGAGGCCCACGGCAAGGCCTCGGCCTCGGCGAAGGCCCAGAATCGCAAGAGGACGGCCAGGGCGGCCAGCAAGTGGGTCCAGACGTTGACCACCTCGTTGTGCTTCTGAAAGAGGCTGAAGAAGTAGTAGCGCCATTCGTGGCCCGTGGGGCGGTAGCCGGTGTGGATGTAGGGCTCCCGGAACAGCTGTGGCACGTCCGTCTCGGGGACGGTGCAGGGCATCTTGGGAAGGCCGTCCTCCAGGAGCTTGGGCAGGCGGCGCAGCTGCTGCCCGCTCACCGACAGGGTGCTCAGGCGCTCCAAGATGGCAGTCGTCATGGCGGCCGGTGGCGCGGCAGCCTGCAGAGAACGGAGGAGAGTCAGGCGGAGCAGCAGACAGGCAGACGGGGCGGAGGCTGCGAGGGCTCTGGGGTAGCTTGGGGCTTCTAGTGCGTTAGGGGGGAGGGGAGCCGCAGACAGCTTCCTTGAGCCTCGCTTTTATTTCATCTGTACTCAGTTGAGTTGGACTAAGACCCCTCCCTTACCACCCTGAGATTGGGATTTCATGTCTACTACCCACTGCAGCGTAAAGTCACATCTTATAAGATAGGGCTGTTAACCACTCCGTTTTAATGACATCTGGATGGTTCATAAGGGTACCTTTAGGGGTACTTTGAAGTGTCCTAGATGTTATTAAAATATAATTACCAGACAGGCTCTAATAGTATGAGACGTTATATTGAAAAATAAAAATTATAAATATTGATGTTACTAATGATAACTTAACATTTCTTGAGCACCTGGTCTTAAAATATCCACTAATTTCACTAGTAGCTTGAACATCTGAGATAAGCAATTGAAACTTGAACTTCAGAGTAAAGACAGGCAAATGAGTCATCAATTTGGTTCGTAAAGACCAATACATATTTTGGGAAATACTTTAACAGTTAAACAAAATTAACACCTGGCCTAAATTTAACATAAAATCTAATTGTAAAAGTTGGCGGGGGAGTGGGGTTGTTTTGTTTTCTTTTTAAATTATACTCTCCTTTTTTTTTTGGTTTTCTTTTTAAATTAAATTGGAAAGTAAGTAATTTTGGATTTGCTCTCCTGGGCAAATCTGTACTAAATCTGTACTCGATGTACTCGATGAATTTCAAGCCTCAAACATGTTTAGCTTGCACTTGGAATTTTTACATGACAGATGAGCCAGAGGAGCATAGCAATTATTTCACAAAAGAGCTGCAAAATCTCATGTGAACTTTTTGGGTAAAGAAATGGATTTTCAGCATCTATACAGCTATCTTCTGTAGTTCATATTTTCCAACCTCTTTTCCTCAGACAAGTTCAAAATCTGATTATCGAAATGGCTGCTTCCCTTCAGAGCCCTTATGCTGGGAGAGATACAGCAAGAGCCTCTCAAGGCATTACTAATTTTAGTGAAGAGAATTTAATCTTCCTACTCACATTTCTTAATCAATATTGAAAAGGAAAAAAATTACATAATCAGATCTAAAATGTAGGGCATGAAAATTAATAAAATGTAAAAAAAAAAAAAAAAAGCTCAGGGTGACCTGGAGTCAATCCTTGGTTTGGGGCTACTTTCTGGGTAACCTTGGGCAAGTTATAGAGCTGTCTAGGCTTCAATGTCTTCATCTGTAAAATGGGAGTAATAATTCTGCATACCATATGGATAGTTGTAATGGTTAAATGAGAGACTCTAAAACATAAAGTGCTTACTAAGGATTATGGAGTCAGAAGAACAAAAAGAGGAAGAGTGGGAGAGAGAAAGCAAACAGTCATCAGAATACCTTAATTCATTTAAAACAAAAAACAGAAAGAAAAGGAAGGAAGGAAGGAAGGAAGGAAGGAAGGAAGGGAGGGAGGGAGGGAGGGAGGGAGGGAGGGAGGGAGGGAGGAAGGAAGGAAGGAAGGAAGGAAGGAAGGAAGGAAGGAAGGAAAACGCTAAGCAGTGCTTCTGCTATCAGCCAGCAGGGGGATCTGAGAGTCTGAGGGTTAAGTTCTAGATGGGAGACTCCTCCAATTGACCTCCAGTGGCAGCTGGTGACAGAGCACAGCAGGGGTAAAGGAGAGGGACAGGGAAGGGCAGGAGCAGATGGAGTGTGCTAGCCCTAGGATCAAGTGGACCCAATGCATGGCTGGGCCTGGGACATGGGGCAATGTTTCAAGTTGTCTGGTAGCTAAAAGTATGGCTAAGTATGAGAAGTACTGGCTGAGAAGTATGTGGCCTGGGGGAACTGGGCTTTGTTGGAGCTCTGGGGAATTAAAGAGCTCTATTCTTTAGACACAGACTTCTCCCATCTCTTGTGAAGTAGAGAGAAAAAGCAGAAATATTGATTTTGTGGTTGGGAAAAATTAAGGTGAGTCACTGGGGTTATGAGTTGTAGAAGAAAGGAATCCCTAAAGATGCTCTAGGGTAGGCCCACTTTAGCACTGCTGTCTAAGATCAAGGGTGTTTCCATCATCCCTGGGCACCCAAACAAATTGGAGACAATTCCACATCTAAAGTTAAATAACACATGACTGTACAATTTCTGCTCCTCATCGTCTCCTCAAAATAAGGTGTCTGGGACAATAGGTTCTTATAAACCAACAATGCAAGTGAATTTCTAAAGACTGAAAACTCAGGTTTCGGTTGTCTAATGATTGGAACTGAACACAGTTTAGGCATCTGTCCATTCTGAGGACATGATCTGACAGATCATGATACTGCTTTATTGTCAGTTTCTAGAAAACCCTGTCTGCAGAACTCTGACCCCAAGTGTTCCTCCAGTCCTCATACCACCAACCTAACTTCATGGCTTTATGTTGATGAGTCCTTTTCAGAAAATTATTTCTACTACTCTCTTACTTATGGAAATAAACTAGGAGAGGTTTATAGAAATAAGAAATACAAGACCTAACGGTTTAAACTTTAGCTTCAAAGGAAAGGATGCACAGGGGGAAAAATGGCAGAATCATTGTTTCCCTTGCAAATGAGACCTTCTTTTCCAAGGATCTTTAAATTTTTTTTAATGTTTATTTTTGAGAGAGAGAGAGAGAATGCAAGTGGGGGAGGGGAAGAGAGAGAGAGGGAGACAGAATCTGAAGCAGGCTCCAGGCTCTGAACTGTCAGCACAGAGCCCTATGCAGGGCTCGAACTCACGACCTGTGAGATCATGACCTGAGCTGAAGTCAGCTGCTTAACCAACTAAGAGACCCAGGTACCCCTCCAAGGATCGTTAAAGTGCCATCACACCAGTCTCAGAGTCTCCTTAATAAGTCCATCCTCTGGCATGTGTAGCCCAACACCCCCAAGAGAGATCTGGTAGTTGCAGGGACACTACCACAATGGCCTCCGACTCAAGCTATGATCTCTTATCTGTCAGTGATGAGGGTGCTGCAAAGATCTAGATCATCTATCTGTTGGTGAAAAGGATCTAAATTTTTACACTTTGGAAGTGAAAAACGAAAATTCTAAACTAATAGAAAGAGAGGGGATTATCTCTTTGTCTTTTGCTTAGCAATTGCCCCTTCCCCTGCCATAAAATTCTCCCTTCACCTGAGACAGCCACCACAGCCACAGCAATGGTAATAAAGTATAATTTTTAAAATCAGCGTTAACTACAGAAGCCCCGTCCAGTGGAGTCCCCCATATTTTACCCCCGTAGACAGGATTTACTGTCGCTGTGCCAGAGTGTGCAGTACTTCCAGAAATAGTCTTCAAAGGGCCAGCTATAAGGTTTGAGAGTCTTTCTTGGAGGAAATCACCCAATGGCATCATGATATTGGTGCAGGCACCCACCTCTAGCCTCCCAGTGCCAGCTCTAAGGGTGCCTCCCTCATTCCTGGCCTCTGTCCCCATGCACTCCTCCCTGAGCTGATATGGCCATCAGCTGACTAAGATGCTACCTTAGAATGATCTCTTCTGCACAGGGTATGCTCCAGCTCCTCTGCTGAGACAGCTGAAATGGAATCTTCCTGAAGAATACGCATGAACTGGCTAAGCTCAAGTCATATTTTGATCAACCACAGAGCTCTTCCAGAACAAAGATCATCTACTCAACAATACTGCAGACTACAAAAGCCAAAATGGATGGATAAAATAAGACCCCTTTCCTCAAACAGCCTACAAGAAGATTCAAACTTCATGAATCTATAGCTAACACCACTGGACTGCATATAATTGAGTATTAAGTAGACTGAAATACAAACAGGTCTCCAGAGTGGAGCTCACCCGGGATACAATGGGGCTTAGAAAAGTGAAGGGGTGAGAAGTGGGGCAATTCAGGAAGGGGGCGAAATATGAGCAAGGGAATGCTCTGACTTCTTCGTGGGCCTATAAACAGAGGGGCTGTTGGAGAGTAATCAGGAAGTGAGGGGGTAGGTGCCACAGCATTATTGAAAGGAGTTTAGATTTGATGTTGCAGAAAGAATATGGGAGTTCACATCTCATCCTTGAAGCTTTAAGCCTGTTCAGTCCTCATCTCATCTGAGTTGTAGGAATTCATGCTGCTGACCAATGCCCCCTCTCCTGGCCTAAGTGACACTACTCTCTTTGGTCTTGTCTGTTTTCTCCTCTCACCACCCCTATCAACTCTACTGTTCCCAGGGGTCCGCCACCTGCCCCTTTTCCACCTCCACAGTCCCTCTGATGTGGGTACTTTCCCCACAGCCTTGGCTTTAGCTAGCACCTGTATCAGATGATTCTCACACATACATCTGTAGCCAGATCTTTCCTGAAATTTGGATTCAAATTTCCAGTGGCTCTGGATTTGTCCGACTGAATATCCCATAGGCACTTCAAACTCAACATCTTCAAACTTGTCCTTTAACCCAGATTTGATCCTTCCCCTACATCCAATCAGTCCTCTAGGCCTGTTGGTTTTATCTCACCATTTCTGGAATCCATGCATTCTTTCCATTTCTACTGCTCTCCACTCAGGCCTTCAAAATGAACTGATGCAGAAGATAAAAACAGCAGTGTCATAACTGACTTTCCTTCCTTAAGTGATGGTTCCCCTGCCTCATGTCTGCCACACCCTCTCTTCTATGAACCACTTCAGGGTGACAATTTAAAAATGGAAATCTGAATACCACTCCCTTCCCCATATCCCCCAGTAGCTCACCATTGTTTGTTTACAACACAAACTTTAATCCCTTAACAGGCCTACTTCTGTTGACCACTCTCCTCTCTATCCACACCTCCAGGCCACTTTAATGGCCTGGATCATAATACTGGGAGATTTTCAAAAGTGCCAAAGTCTTCATCTCCACACATGATGATAACCCTCCAGTCAGTCCAGCAACCCCAGCTCAACATGATGCCCAGGAGACAACTCTGCCAAGAAGCCTTTCCCACCCCCCAGACTGGGTTTAGGGCTCTTCCTAGCACACTTCTGTCCTGGGGTCCTGATCATTGGTTTACTCTGCTCACTCCCCTATTCATGGCCAGCTGTGTTACTGTGCAAGTTCCCATGTCTAAAACAGTATTCAGCATATAAAATAATTATACACCTAATCATATTTACTGAATGAATAGCTCTTTAGGCCCAGACATATGGCACCAATTTCCTTCTGCTCAGCAAGGTCAAGGGAAAAAGAAATAATGTTTGGGAGTCAGAGGGTCTGGGTGTTCCATATTTGCTCTAGTCAAATAGCTATGTGGTAATGCCCAGGACATTAAACTATTGAGTGTAATTTTCTCCATTAAAAAAAGGTGAGTGAGAGGTGATTTCCTATTTTTCTATCTTTCAGGATAAAAAGAAGATAAATAATAAAATGGGCAGTAGTTGAATAGTGCTTTGAAGAGACTAAATATGCACATTAAAGTACTAAAAATATTTAAAGAACTCACGAAAGGACTGTAACTTAGTAATATATAATTTTTCTGCCTTATATGGGATGTTAATGCAGTCCTTGAAAACTGAAAAGGCATTTAAAGTTTATGGTTCATTTCTGGGAATCCTTATAATACCTTCCCCAACTGCCTTATGAAGAGTTCAATAGACTCAAGTCATAACAGAATTGGAATTTAAAGTTCTATTTTAATGTGAACTGTTATTTAACTCTATTTTAATAATATGAGTATGGTATCTGTGCCACGAATTCAGGTAATGTTTATACAAGAAAGTGTTAATGTTACATCACATTTTGGTCTATGTAGGGATCCAATCTTAAAGTTTTATTGCAGGTGCTCCTTTAAACTATTTAGAAAAATTAAAGATAATTACTATAAGGCAAAACAGAAAGAGCAGGGTAAAGTTTATGTTCATAGCAATAAGTTGACATTTTAATAAAGAACTGTACATTTGCATTTGCTTCTTAAAAAGAGATCACAGCCAAAGTATGCATTCTTTTAAATATTTATTTTTGAGAGAGAGAGAGAGAGAGAGAGAGAGAGACAGCATGAGCAAGGGAGGGACAGAGAGAGAGAGAGGGAGACACAGAATCTGCACAGGCTCCAGGCTCTGAGCCATAAGCAGAGAGCCCGATATGGGGCTCAAACCCACAGACTGTGAGATTGCAACGAACAGTGAGGGCAGTGGGATACCTGGTATAAATGGTTAAATCTGTTACTAGGAGACTGGAGACAGGCCTAGCTCTATGGGGGCTTAGAAGTGGCATGGCCATTGTCCTACTTTGGGTCCTCATTATCTCCTACAGGTGCCTCTTTGGGATACAGAAGGCCGTCCCTGTGGTCCCTGCCCGTGTATCTCCATGACTAATCCCAACTGTCCCCTGACCCTGCCACTTTTGTGTGTTGCAGTAATTCTGCCATCCTTTCAGGACTTTGTACACAAGCACAAAGGCATGGAGTACCCACTGATGGCCACTGGCCAAGTTCAAATTTCCCCTATGAAGCCTTCCCTCCAGGTGCTCCTTTGCTTCTGCTATCCCTGCACTACCCCCCATTCTAGCTCTTTCCCTTCTGTATAACTACAGTATCCTGGTTTATATTACAGGCATACCTTGTTTTGTTGTGCTTTGCAGAATATTGCATTTTTTAAAGATTTTATTCATTTTTAAAAGGTTATAACTCTTTAAACATTTTTTAAAATGTTTGTTTATTTTTGAGAGAGAGTGTGTGTGACAGAACATGAGTGGGGCAGGGGCAGAGAGAGGGAGACACAGAATCCAAAGCAGACTCCAGGCTCTGAGCTGTCAGCACAGAGCCAGAGGCAGAGCCCAAACTCACTAACTTCAAGATCATGACCTGAGCCGAAGTCTGGCATTTAACCAACTGAGCCACCCAGGTGCCCCAAGATTTTATTGTTGACTAATCTCTACACCCAATGTGGGGGCTCAAATTACAACCGCAAGACTAAGAGTCACAGCTCCACCAACCTAACCAACCAGGCACCCCTGCATTTTTTATAAAGTATGCTCTATGCCCAACATGGGGCTTGAACTCATGACCCCAAGATCAGGAGCTACATATGCTACTGACTGAGGCAGCCAGGTGCCCCCAGGTACCACATTTTTTATAAACTGAAGGTTTGTGGCAACACTGTATACAATAAATCCATCAGCACCATTTTTCCAATAGCATTTGTTCTCTTCATGTCTGTATCACATTTTGTTAATTCTTGTAATATTTCAAGGTTTTTTTTTTCATTATCATGTTTGTTATGGTGATATGTGATCAGTGATCTTTGTTGTTACTATTGTAATTGTTTGGGAATGCCATGAACTGTGCCTATTTAACACTGCCAACTTAATCAATATGTGTGTTGATTGCTCCGCTGACCAGCCAATACCTGGTCTCTCTTCCCCTCCTCAGGCCTATTGAAATAAGCCCAATTGACAACATTACAATGGCCTCTAAGTATTCAAGTGACAGAAGGAGTCACACCTTTCTCACTTTAAATCAAAAGTTAGAAATGATGAAGCTTAGTGAGGAAGACGTGTTAAAAGCCACGACAGGCCCAAGTTGTGAATGCAAAGGGGAAGTCCTTGAAGGAAATCAAAAGTGCTACTTCAGTGAACAAAAGAATTGATAGAAACTGAAACAGTCTTATTGCTGAGATGAAGAACATTTTAGCAGTTTGGATAGAATATCAAACCAGCCACAATGTTCCCATAAGCCAAAGTCTAATCCACAGCAAGGCCCTAACTCTCTTCAGTTTTGTGAAGGCAGAGGGGTGAGGACAGTGCAGAAGTAAAGTCTGAAGCCAGCTGAGGTTGGCTCATGAAGTTTCAGGAAAGAAGCCATCTCCATAACAGAAAGGCACAGACGTGAAGCAGGAAGTGCTGATGCAGAAGCTACAGCAAGTTACCCAGAAGATCTACCTAAGAGACTTCATGAAGGTGGCTAGACTATGTAGCAAATTTTCATTGTAGATAAAACAGCCTTCTATTGGAAAGAAATGCCATCTAGGACATTCACAGCTACAGAGAAGTCAGTGCCTGGCTTCAAAGCTTCCAAGGACAGGCTGACTCTCCTCTTAGGGGCTAATGCAGCTGGTGATTTTAAGTTGAGCCAGTGCTCATTGACCACTCCAAAAATCCTGGGGTGCTTAAGAATTATTCTCAATCTACTTTCCCTGTGCTCCATAAATGGAATAACAAAGCCTGGATGCTAGCATATCTGTTTCTAATATGTTTTACTAAATATTTTAAGCCCACTGTTGAGAACTACTGCTCAAAAAAAAAAAAAAAAGATTCCTTTCAAAATATTACTGTTTATTGACAAAGTGCCATCACCCAAGAGCTCTGATGGAGATGTACAACAAGTTAATGTTGTTCTCCTGCCTGCTAACACAACATCCATTCTGTAGCCATGGCTCAAGCAGTAATTTCAACTCTCAAGTCTTATTATTTAATTCATAATTAAATTCTATAGTTTATAAATTAAATTATAAAATTTATCATATAAATTAAGTCAAATGTTACTCATTTCACATTTCCTAAGTCTATAGCTGCCATAGACAATGATTCCTCTGATGGCTCTGGGCAAAGTAAAACGAAAACCTCCTGGAAAGAATTCATGACTCTAGATGTTATGAAGAACATTTATGGGCAGAAGTCAAAATACCAACAGTAACAGAAGTTTGGAAGAAGTGGATTCCAACCCTCAGGGAGGACACTGAGGGGTTGGTTCGGT